GCGAGCGCCCTGCGACGTCCGATTACAAACAGTTGGAAAAGGGAGACGGTCTACTTGGTCACATACCGGCATGTTCTCTTCTCTTTTCTTTTGTCTTCTAAGCCCCGATTTTATTGTGCACGCGTCACTTCTCGTTTGGCATTCTTTATGCCTCGACGATTCTTTCTTTTCTAAGTCTCCCTGGCCCTACTAGGCAGAACGGAACAAACCGCCCCCTCCAAGCAGCCTTGTTGGAGACACCGAACTCAGACTATACCTTCTCCACTTTCATTAGCATTCTCTCTTTCTTTGTTTATATATTGGAGATTTACGCGCGCTGGCGAAACAGCCAACATTGCCTTGTTTGTAGAAATAGTAAGAAACAAAAACACGTGGGAGCATTTGTAAGGACAACAGTGCCGAAACAAAGGGAAGCACGATCTTCCCCCTCCCCCTCTTTCACGCATATTTAAGATATTTCTAGACGAACAATGGTGGGAAAGGGCGGAAATTTCCCTCGGCCTCCCCACCCCCTTAAAGACATACTACAATGCTACATACTGTATACAACAACAATTCTCCTCCAATACCGTAACTTAACGCAGCACGCTCCATTTCCACAAAAAAAAAAAAAAAAAAAGACCATTTTTAGAGTTTTTTTGGGACACGCATTTCCGTTGTTAGACACAATTTAGATGGAGGCCATGACCCGCTCTAAGCTCAGCCCACAAATCAGTGGCCACGCCCATCATATACTGGACTGGCTTGGTGGCTCGACCGAACACGCTAACGAGCATATAGTGACTCCCTTTCGCGTCATCTGGTGCCGCGTCTACACTGGCGTCTGACAACGCCTGCTAGTCGTGCGAGCAGACGCGCGGCAGCCTCTGGCGTCGTCTGCTATATCACCGCCGTCTATTGCCGCCTGCAATGCCCGTGAGACGCAGACGCGAAAGCCGCGCGTCAGCGTCCGTTTTCGCCTTCGTCCGTCTGCTATTCCGCCGCCGTCTAAAGACTTCTGCAACGCTCAGAAGACGCGATCATAAAAGTGGCGTTCCAGCGTTTCATCACACACGAGCCGCGGTCCAATACAAGCGTCTGTCAGCGTCTATCTATGTGCGTAATAAACAACCGAGAAAGCTAAGAACAAAAAAAAAATCAACAAAATAATTATGCAGTTTTTCTAGCTTTACTGTTTTTATTAGTTTTTTTTGTTCTTTCTTTTTTTACATGGCATTCGTGAGCAAGGTGAGTGAGCGCCATAACGCAGAATTAAATGCAACGTAAAAATATTCGTTTTGATAGGCCAGGTGCACTGAAAAACTTGAGAGCTACTTGCCTTTCGAAGCGAAATGACAAGAACAAGCCTTGGGGGGCTAGGCTGGACATTTACATGTACATCCTAAAAGGCTAGGGAAGTGACGCATAGACGTCTGATTGGTGGAGATAATTGTCTGTACCAGTCAGAAGACATGACGGTACTTTCATGACCTTTTAAAAAATGTACATGTAAATGTCCAACTTAGTCCCCCAGGACTAACTTGATACGAACCGAACGCCCGATTGCCTATGGACAAAATGGCTCGCAAAATCTTAACTGTGCATACGGTATCTTCTCAGTACTATACTCCGCGACAACTTTTCTTGGCAATGCAGTGGAAGGTACAGGCCCGCGTCCCCTCTCCCATTTTGAGTGGACGCAGGCTCTCCTCCTCCCCCACTTCCGGGGAGAGGAGGAGAGCCCGCGCGCACTCAAAATGGGAGAGGGGACGCGGGCCTCTACCTTCCACTGCATTGCCAAAAAAAGTTGTCGCGGAGTATAAAACCATGGTTTCAAAGATGATGGTTGCACAATTCACGGAGCAGCAGGGCCGCTTTAACGAAAACCAACATCTTTGTTCGCAGTCAACGCGCGCAGACGAACAAATCAAGCGAGATCCAGCAACGTAGTTGACGCGGGGCAGTAGGCTTAGGCCAGTCCCGCCACGAAAACAAACACCCTGACAGCGCTTCTGAATGCGCGTACTTGCCACAGTAGCTTGCTGCAAACTAGATCCGTTGAGAGCTTTCTCTACATACCTTGATGAACGCAGAACGAGTCGCACTCCTTTTAAGTAAACGAGGTCAATGATTGACGCTCGTTGAGCGCGCCACAAACGCCGACAGCCATGTTTGTTAACGTTTGAAACCGAAACGAAAAGGCAATCTCGAAATATCGTTGAAGACAATAATAAGCCTATCTAAAATTTTTGTTTCTCAAATATAAAAAAATAGCCGATTGAAATACTATTTGGGCACGGAAACCCAAATTTACAATCAACCTTTCACACGTCAATCATCTCTCCAGCCAATGAGAGATGTACGCACCTTGTAAGCACAGGGCAGGGCTTAGCGGGCTGTGAACTCCTCTCTCCTCATAAGTTGTGTCAAGCAACGTAAATATTGTAAAATAAATGATTTTACTGCTATCTTTTTCTTTTTAATATACGTGTATCTTTAAAATAATTTATGTTTTTCATTCCAGTGTCTTTTTAAAGGCCCGTTCACACGGTTGCGTTCGGAGCGACCACTACGCTTACGAACGAATGCAACCGGTTGGAACGAGTTACCGTAGCAACGAAGCGCCAAACGGTCGTTTCGTTCGTGTTCGTTCGCAACGCAAGGACTTGAACCGGGATGAACTTTTTTGTTACGTTCGGAAACGACGGGAGCGACAGACCAATCAAAGGTCGAAGACAGCTCGGTCGCGCGCGTTGCATGCCGGTCGTGCCGGGCTCCTTCTATCTGCAAACATGGCGTCAGTGGTGATCGTCGACTTGGACGGCGTGGTGGAAGCTCATCGTTCCCCGTAAAAGCGCTATCCTTTACTGTGAATTTTCATCGTGTGTCGTTATGATAACCCAACACGTACTAAAAGGGAAGATCCACCTACTCGTGCGGCGATCTCGTGGCGGCCCTCTCAAGACAGCAGAAACGCCCGTGCCGTCGTGTTTGTTTACTTCGACTACAGTGGTGCTTTCTTAGCATTTGTGTCCTCGAACATTACCCGGATTTCTTTTTGGCGCATTCCATGCGTGTGCTCAAGTTCAAGGTATTGCTGGTGCGTACCGTTTAAAGGATGCGAATTTTCACACTTTTTGATCACCCGAAAAAGGGGATTAGTGTTAACAATCCTGAACGCTCGCAACGTCTGTCAAATATTTCTACGTTGCAACATCGCTGGTAAGATTACATCGTCTTTTGTAATCGTAGAAAAGGCGTGTGGCGAGATTTGTACTGTTGGCAAAGTCGTGTATTAAAGTCGTGATTGTGCAAGACGGCGTACTGCATATTTTTTTTTTTAATGCACTACCCTGGAAGCGTATCCTGAAAAAAAGAATAATAAATCTTGAGGTCATAGAAGACGGTCTGTTTATTTTCTGTTACGCAAGTGCGTGGCAGCACGTCCCCTTCTTTTTAGTGGCACCGCTGAAACAGCAGACGTCAACGGAGAGGCGGTCGCCGTGCTGCCGACCCGCTGCGGTTGTTGCGGTTGTAGCAGGAGTGTACGCGCGGCGCAGAGCGATCGTTCCGGTCGCTCCGGTCACAACGGACGTAGTCGTGGATAACGGGTTCGTTTCAGATGTCTAAACCAGCCTTTGCAAAGCTATTGTAGGCGGACAGCAGATCTTCGTGACTGTACACCGTAGCCGAAACCTCGGGCTGCTCCAGTGAGAACCCCGCGTCGGGCCGTCCGCCATGTTTGTAAGCGTAGCTGGGTTGCTTGCTATTGGCTAGGAGGAAGAGCTGAAGCTCGTTTCTCATTGACTGTTGATTCGTGTGGTTGCATGCGGTTGCATGTGTGTGTACGCGTCGCGCACAGTTGTCGTTGAAGTCGCAGCGGTTGCATTCGTTCGTAAGCATAGTGGTCGCTCCGAACGCAGGTGTGTGAACGGGCCTTAAGTCTCTTAAGGCCCCGTCTCTCGAAGACTTCCGACGCCCTTGAGGTTAAGCTAAAACCGCAGCAGTCACTGCTCGTAGATCAAGACACCGTGTTCGCTGCAGTCATGATGAATGAATTGAAGGGTATAATTCACATGAGGAAGAAATTTCTCCCTTTGTTCCCCGGAATGCGCATCACGTGATAACAACGTCACGCTTTTGCGCGGAGCCTCGCTGTCGTAGGCATCCCATAGGGATAGGGGAGCTTTTGCTCGGGGTGCACCAACACTCCCGCCTTGACGTGGGACCTCTTTGCAATTGGCAGTATTTTATTCGCGTGTCTGGTAATTTTACATCCTTTGTTCAGCGAGATGCCGACGGTGGCATCGGGATCGCCTAACTTGTTGTGGCTCGCACTGTTGCTCTTGTCGTCCGAGGCACCCGAAGCGGTCTTCGATATTCATCGATGCCACCCTAAAGCCGCTCCTCGTACAGCTGGTTTTTGATTTCGCTTCCTTTGCGTGGCATCCACCCGTTCGAGAAGCAGCTTTCGTTTAGCCGGAAGCAGTTCGTCGTCTTCTGCTCCTAAGAGCGCTGCTGCCATAACCGCGTAACGCCCTTCCATGTGCGCCTCCATTTTTCTACTCTCTTCGGCGTGCAGCCAACCCTCTTGTCGAGAGTTCCACCGTTAAATGCCTCTGAAAACAGCGACCTCCCTCTCGGCCCCCCGTCGTTGGTGTTAATGCTAGAGTCGGGGAGGGACTTCCGCTGGTTCCACCAAACACTGACGTGACGCGCATCCCTAGCCGAAAGCATCCCTTGTGTGAATACCCCTTTGTCTGCGGGCAAGCCTCGAGAATGTTCCAAGCATATGTTCTCTTCGTACGTGTGTAGGCTGGGAACATGCCTGCAGACAGTTTTTGTTGGACCAATGTGACCGTCGAACACCTCAGACAGTGTCTGCAGGTTGTCTTTTGTAGGGTGTTTTAGCGGTGTGATCGCGACTTCAGGGATCTCCCGAACACTTTCGACGCCGTATAAACATCGATGACGTACTTACTGTCTCCTTTATGGTTTGCTCTTCATCTTTTCTCCTCCAGGCAATGGCCAATGAGGCCCCTCAGTCCGAGGCCGCCGATGGCGCCGCGAACGAGACCGAGTTGCCCGAACAGGTGCTGTTCCGCTTCGTCACCGCCGAGGAGCCGATCTACGGGAACACGTCCATGGCGTCCCTGCTGGCCAACGCCACTTCTGCGCCCACAGTCTCCGCCGCCGAGTTGCAGTGCCTCCAGGCGGACGGAAATGGAACTTCAGGTAGGGACCCTGTCTGCTCACATCAGGGACGATCGCGACGGTACAACGCGGGGTTATTATGTGCGATCTTCTTGGTTCGTAATTCTTTCTTCTACGTTCTTCCTGGATGCGTTCTCACAGGCTGCAGAACGGTAGCAGTAACTACACTCAGAAACAAACCTCCGTGCGTTCCCGCAAAAAACGCGGGCAGTCAGTCACTGCGAAAGATGGAAGAATCCCATCACGTTCAAATGCTCCGAGTATGAAACCCGAAATATCCTATGGTAAATGATAGAAAGAAACCTGATGGTCGTGGTCACCGCAATTTGGTGAATAAATTCTCAGGCAGTGGGAAATTGCTCTCCCTAGAGGGCCAAGCCTCTGATTCCTCTGAAGGACACCAGAAACTTAGGCAGTGCAGTACGACTGCTTGTTTGAGTTTTTTTAACGTGCATCGCAGGGTAGCGATCTATGAACACACGCCGGTACGATGCTCGTCCTGGGGCTCTAAGTTGGTAAGTTCGACACTCGGTGAGAAAGCCACGCGCGATCGCCGACAGCCGCGATCGGCCAGCGCCAAGGTCAATCGCGACGCTGGCCTATTGCAGCGGCTTGCGATCTCGCCGACTTACTGGCCGAGTGTCTGGCTTGAAAATAGAAACGGGCACGGGTGGCGATTGAGCCCAGGATTCTTGAGTTCTGCAGCGCGAGTTTTTGTTCCTCGTGGCCCGAACTTCGGTGCATTACCCCACTCCACCACCGACTCCCTCGACAAGTCACTCGCACCAATAAAGAAAGGGCAAAAGTGTGATATACCGCTCGCGTATCTCTCTACTATTTATACAGATCGAAGGAAGAGCGGTTATTTGTGTTCAGGGTGTGTCGCGGGGCATTATCCGCTCGTCAGGATCGGGCGTCTTCCATTGTTGCTTCGTCTTTCCAGTTCTGAGCCTTCCTCCCAATAGAGGCACTTTGGCGACGCTTCTTTTGAGCTCCCGGCCGACTGTCCCTTTCCGTCAGTTCATTCTTCGGACGTCATAAAGGAGCGGACGTAACGCCCCGCAGCCCGCTTCGCCGCGCAATCACGCCTCTGTCCATTCTACTTTTACTTCCGAGTATTTGCTCGGCGCAAACCCAAGACGTACATGTGCGTCTGTTCATCTCGTTTTCTTGCTCGCTTCCTCTTTTTTTGCATTATTATTTCCTTCTGGTGAGAGCATTAATGTGCGTTTAATATTGTCCGCGAGTCAGGAGAAACAAAAAAAGCGAACAAACCCCCTCTTCCCTCGAAAAAAGAAAAATTAAAGAAATCCAACGACAAAGGCCCACCAGCGAGGTGCTTAGGAACCTCTAAATTCGGCGGATAAGACCCGTGGAGAAGACTCCATCATCGATCACTGCTGGCTCTTCGTCCTTTGTTTATTTATTTCCCTAGGGGCGATTTGTGTGTAAGACACACGGCCGAGCCTCGTTCCTTTATAGAAAAGCCAGCCGGGCCGTGAACGACCGATACGTTTAAATCTATGTATGGCGGCGACGGCGGCGCACTTTTGTGGCTGCCTGTTGGAAGGCCTCCCGGCAGAATACAAAAGTCTTACAATCGTTCGCGCTGCTTTTCTCGATCGGGTAGCGCGCGATGAAAAGCGTGTCCCCTGGATTTTGTAGCACAATCTTTTTCTTTCCTCTTTTATTTCCTGTTTTGTTCTTTTGAAAAGGGGGGGGGGGGGGGGTAATTGAAATTCAGAAAAGCTAGTTGATTGTATTTATTTCTAAATCGATCGTGCCGTTTTCGGGTTTAGTTGTAAAAAGAATGGTGCCATATTTTTCGAATCTTGGACGACACGGTGAATGAATCGTGGCTTACTAGTTGGTTTTTCTTCGAACCTCGGAGCTTGGCAGGAGCGGTCCTCGGGCCTTTCCGCTTCTCAGCGTAGATTTTCGCCGACAGCTCGACAAGCCCGGGCTGCGGCGAGTCCCGCGGGTATTAATATCGCCCTGCACGTAATCCCACTGCTGCCGAAAGAAAGACCCAGTCGCGAGGCAAGAAACGGGAACTAAACATAGCGATCGTAAAAGTCTTCGAGCCTAGCGCAATTTTACGTATACCTTCCCTTGCGCTGCCAAATTACCGAACCGAAATAAATTGGATTTCATCCGGAAAATAATTCGAGAAACTCAGATTTTGTTACACGCATTTCCGCTTCGTGACTCGACGAAACCTGCGACGTAAGAGGATACTGCATCCACGAATCGTGACGTAACGCCCTGTTTTTCGCTTCCCCTCCTTACCAACTTCGAGCCGCACTCGGAAGATGCGTCGAGCGACGCGACGCGGCCGACGCGACGTTAGAAGGCGGGACGTCAAAGAAGACGGCATCCTGACCCTGTTACGTCGCGTCTCGTTTATCGAGGGAGTTGCAAATTTCAATGCGGGGACTTCCAGAGGCGTTGTGTACGCTTTATCCTTCATAGCGCGAGCTAAAACTTTGTGTACACTTCTACGAGGAAGTCCTCTCAGTGGCTATTGTTCAGAATACGTAATTTATAGCAATCATGACTGGAACAATTCCGCAGACTCGCCCCCAACTTGGTTCTTTTTAGTGCGAAAGCATTAACTGTCTCATGGAGCAAACTGACGTCATCAGCGATGAAGCCGCGCCAGACGGCACCTAAACTCCCCTCTCCCAATGGAGCGAACTGAAGCCGCGATCTTATGGATAGGCACCCATTGGCTGGCGCGCGTCATACTTTCAAAAAACGAGGCTGCCATTGGCTTTCGCGCGGCCTAGTTCAAAGGGACGACACCAGAGAAGACCTCTCCATGGCGGTGCAGCGCACGCAGCGGCCCTAAAGTTCCTAGATAACAGTTTCCTACAAGTAGCGACATTCTTTGAAGCGCTGACTGCGTGACGGTGCAGGTTTTAGGAAGCGAATGGCGGCGCACAACAGAGGACTGGATTCGATGGTGCCATTTCGTTCCAGCGGAATGTGCTTTGTCATTTGTATTGGTTGTCGTTACTTGTAAAAAGAAGTATTGAGGGACTTTAAGCGGCCCGGTCGCTGGTAAGAGGTGCGGGCCTGGCCGCAGAGCCCGCTCGGTCAAACCCCGGAGGGGCTGCACAGCCGAGCTCAGCGCGGTGCGGTCACTGAAACGAGAGCGCGCGCTCGGCCGTCGGCCGCTACGTCGGCAGTGGCGAAACCTAGCCGTCCGCGCCAGTACGCCGCAAACGAACTAAGAGATCGGAAGAACGACATTTCTAATTACGCATTCACAACTCATAAGAAGTGCTTAAATGTCCTCGGAATTTTTTTTTCGTATTTTTTTATGTGTTTTTTTTTTATCTTGTTGCTATAAGTGCGAATGTCAGATAACCGTTTTACGTCCAATTCAATCCATCCGAAACAAGGGCGCTCGAAAGTAATTGAAACAAAAACGGCAGCGGGTAAAACTATTCTTCGAAACCGCTTACGGCCAAGTCACGAAGTGGCTCGACGTGGGAAGGTGTACGGCGGCGGTGTGCGTCGTCAGAGGGATGGAACGTCCTTGCGGCGGCGCTGCTGTCGGCACTGCGCTCGCGCAGACGCTTCACTCTTCCCGGGTGTAGTTTCTGCGCACGCGCAGTGCCTACACCTGGTGTGGGCGAACACGGGCGTGTTCGCAAACGGCGCGTTGGTGTCAACCAGAGCTTAAGAGAGGCGGGGCCAGGTGAGCCGCAGGCATCTTATTATCGCTCCGGAGCCAATGAGAATGCGCGATTAGCTAGAACGCCGAAGAACGAAGAAAGGAGTGTGCACATAATAGGCCACGCCCCGCGCTTCTTAAGATAGCTGTAAGTGCCCGCGCAATTAATCTTCGCGAAGCACCGGCAGACACTCGGAGGTCAGATAAAACCAAAGATGATATAGAAAAAGATGAACCAAGAGGTAGAGATAAAGAACATAAAAGAGGAAAAAGACAAGCTTGTGTTCCTACCATTATACAAACATCACGTGGAGCGTGAGGGCTTAGGGTGTCTCGAGAAAAATTTGCAATATCGGCCTAATGCTCGCAACGATCTAATGGCTTCGGCTCGCGTGCATAATAACTGCCCTGAGCCATTTTTAATTCTACCTCCATTTTGTTTGTTACTCTCTCGAGAAAACCGCCAATCAATCTGCTTCTTCTGCGGGGAGCATATCCGAAACGATATGCTAATGGCCTGTATTTGTGGGCAGTCATAAATGAGTGTCCGTGGCTGATGAACCCGTGGAGACGGCCGGCTTCCAAAACACTCGAGGGATTAATTAGCGCACGCTCGTCAATATTATCGTTCTCGCGAGACAAAAACTAGAGGCTCGTTTCGAGCGTGCGCAGTGAAGAGCGCCCTGGGGGCTAGAAAATACAACCGCCCCTATTTCTGACTCAATCCTCTTCAAACTAGTCATGCTCGCTAATTTTTTATTACCTGCTTCGTTATAACTACTCGCGGGTATGTTGCAGTCATTCAACGTGAACTCCGTTTCCTGCTTAGTATAAGGGCCCTACACTCCGTAACCCTACCCTCCGTTTCATACCTAGTGTAGGCGCTATTGATTGGACGCCATATTTGTGGCTGCTGTTCGGAGCGCATGCTCAGGAGGAGCTCACATTAATGGCTGCTACGACATCTCGATGGCACGGAATTCACGTATCGGAGAAACTGCGGAAGCTCACCACCAGCACGCGCTCAGCAGTCGCGCACACAGCTATGGCTGCCAGCGACGTTTTCTGTTTCCAGTCGTTCTCAGTCATGTAGGGTCCGTATCTAATATGAGGGACGAAATAAGAATAAAACATGTCAACCTGGAATATGCGAGAAAATATAGGTGAGGAAAAACGAGAATGTGGGACAATCACGCATTTTTAGCAAACAACTTCCAGCGGCGTGAAGAGATCCAAACGATGCTTTATCAAAAAGTCAAAGTCAAATTGGACGTTTAGTGATTTATCCAGCGTAAGGTCGGTCTGCCAGTGGGGGAGTGGAGTGGAGACCATGGTGTAA